AATATGGGTTATAGGTCAGATTAAATTTTATCCAATCATATAATTAGTCTAGGCTCCAAACAGACCCTAAGGAAAATTATTAAAGGAGTTCCACAACCCCAACGTTATGGTACTCCCTATTGACCTGAGGTCACATGTCACGTCTCAGAACCCAAATTCGAGACGTAACAAACGTCATACACTCGTGAAAAGGTCTCACAAATGCACAAGATTCGAAACTTATCATATCACAATCTGATACCACAAAATCTAAAGATAAAATCTTAAAATATGCTTTGATATTATAAAATCTCCAAATACACTCTAGTTTACAAGATCATGATTTATTTCTAGAATTTATATCAATCTTGAAATTGCTAGCCTTCTAACTCGTCACTTTCCGTGGTTTCCCCGTCCTCGGTTTCGCTTCCTAAAATGGTGGACAAAGAAAAACTATGAGATAAACTCAGTAAGTAAATATGGATAGCTCTTAATTAAACTTATAGCATACCAACAAGTATAATCACGAAAAACAAGCACGAGTACAGAAACGAAATAGACGTCTCCTTTATAGGTCATGGCTAGTGTTATAAACCTCCCACTGGCAGGCACACGATTTACTAGTGTATAATCCCACTAGTAGGATAACAGAAACGAACTGGTTCTATCAGTAACATGTCGATATGTGCTAGCATTTATAAACCTCCCACTAGCGGGCACAGTAAAACATGACCATATCGGAGACAAAACAGACAGAAGTTAATAGAAAAAGCATAATTCACCAATCACTTCAAATCATCAGGACAATCCATTAAATTTCAAGTAGGCATGCTCAATTTAATGAAAAGCATAAAAATTTCACTTCAAATCAGTCATACTTATTTTTGCATAAAACAGGTTTAGTCCCACCACCACTTCAAAAACAAATCAAAACATGCTTTTAAAAAAAATTTTACGGGCATTACCATAAATTTACTTACCTCACTCGCATACTCGATCTCAGTGCTAAACTGACAGAACGATCAGAACCTAATCACAATATCCAAGAATTAATTATTGTATCACGGATTCAAAAGTAAAATCACCATGAGTATCCCCTAATCACGATACTATTCCTATCAATCTCCACATGATCAAATATCTCCAACTTTGTTCTTATATTACAAACTAAACATTTAAATCCCCGTTAATTGTTGGCCATTAGTGCATGAACAGTATCCATGAACAATACCATAAACAGTAACTGCACTTCCATAAATTGGCCAAAACACTAGCTACTTCACGAGATTTTCTCCAAAAATCACACAGCAGTCAATTAACACTCAATCATATAAATCCCACTTGAATTAATGCTTAAATTTGTCCTAAAGCTACCGGAATTCCCCCCCCCCCATTTTAGCAAAATTCGGACACACAAGGCAGCAAATAAATGGACAATTTCGAGGCTTGGAGGGCTGTCAACATACCAGAATTTTAGCCAACAGAACCGGAGCTGCAGTTGGGGGAAGAGGCCGGCGGGATCTGCAGGGGGAATTCACGCAATCTACCAAAAATTGGGAGAACCAAGAGGAATTAACGTAAACCCAAGCCAAATCAAGTGAGAAAAGGGGAATTTCGAGCTGTTTCTTACCAAAAACCCGAGCAATTCGCACCCCACAAAGCAGGAGCAGCCCGTGGTGAGAAGCAGAGCAGAGCAGATCCGGGATTTCTGTAGAGAGGGGGGAGAATTTCTAGGTTCAATTTGTGTTCTAGAGCAAGAAAGGAAGGAGAAATCCCCAAGCTTCCTACCGGTTTTTCAGCCGGAGATGGGTGGCAGCAGCTGGGGGCTTTCGGCCGGTTGCAGGGGGGGTCGGGAAGAGCAGAAACGCGAAAATGGCTGGGGAGAAAGAAGAAAAATTATAACTGATCCTTATCCAAATTCTTTTCCCTTTTTAAGTCCCTAAACTTAGAAAATTTTGCTATTAAGCCCCAACATAATATTTCCTCTCAAATTAGTCCCTAACTCACTTATTTATCCTAAAAAATTTTGGGTATCACATCACGACTCACAAGGTCTCGACTCTCCCAACTAGGCTCCAACTTTTAAACAACTAAACTTAAGGACAAGATTTTCCCCAAAAAAAAAAAAAAAGAGTTAAGGCCAAAGACTAATTACAGGTTATTAACTATGTGATTTATTTTAATTTAATCTAAAAATAACTTTTTTTTAAATGATTTATAAATTATCAATCTTGTTTCAAAATGGTATATTTGACAAACATTCCGTTAACTAGACTAACGGAATGTTTGTCTAAAAAAGTTGGTGTAGACAAGCTGTCCCTTAAACTTTTGAAAATGTTAAATATAGTACATATATTTTTATTTTTTGCAACATCTTGTTTTTGAAATTTAAATTCTATGTTAAATGTAATAATTAATTAAAATAATAATTTTAATTTACATTGATCAAGATTCTAATTTTAAATTACAATAATCAATATTATAAGTTAAATTTTGTTATTTCTTGAAAAACTTAATACCATTATTAAATCACATATTTTTTTCACAAATTTGTATAGAAAAATAAAAAATTTTATTTTTATTTTTAACACTAATAATACATGCATGATTTTAATTTGGGGACTTATAAAATTGAAATGAATTTTTATTTTTTCAGGTAATTTTAATTATGTGCGGGTGCTCATTTAATTAAATTAAATTTTGGAATGGTTTATTTATTAAAAATATTAATATTTAATAATAAATTAATTTTTTTAGAAATAATAAAACTTAAATTATAATATTGATTATTGTAAATTAAAATTAAAATTTTAATTAATGTAAATTGAAATTTCATCTTAGTTAATTATTATATTTGACAAAAAAATTTGAACTTGAAAAATAAAATGTTGTAAAAAATAAAAAATATATGCATTATATTTAATATTTTTCAAAAGTTTAGGATTTACTTGTCTAGATAAACATTCCGTTAGTCTAGTTAAGGGAATGTTTGCCAAATATACTATTTTCAAACAAAATTGATAATTTATAGATTATTTTGAAAAAAACTGATTCTAAACTAAATTGAAATAAATCACTTAGTTAATAAAATATTTATTAAATATAACCCTAATTAAAGCATTACGAGACTAAACTGAGGGAACTAATTAACTTGAAGCAGAAAATAACTTGAGGTGGGCGAAATTTTTTTTGACAACTTAAATTTTTAAATTGTTTATGACATCAGTTCATTTTTTTTTTAACAATCTTAATAAAATTAAAAAATGAATTTTTTTAATATTTTTGAGAAATTTTTATTTAATAAATAATTTACTAAACCGAGGGAACTAGTTAACTCGAAACAGAAAATAACTTGAGGTGGGCGAAATTTTTATTGACAACTTAAATTTTAAATTTTTTATGACATCAGTTCATTTTTTTTTAACAATCTTAATAAAATTAAAAAAGAACGTTTTTTTATATTTTTGAGAAATTTTTATTTAATATATAATTTATTAAAATAAAAAATAACATATCATCATTATAATATTTAAATAATAAATTAACTAATTCAACTAATTTTAAAAAATATTAATAGTTAATAATATGTTTAAGTTAAAGAAAATAAAAGGGAGAGACTAATTTTTTAAACAGTTATATTATATTATTTAAAAATATTATAATTTGGTTGATAAAAAAAGTTTTTATTTTTTAAATAAAAATATTATAGTATAAAAATAAAATTAAAAAATATTTATTATTTTAAAATAGAATGAGTAATGAATGGTGGTAAAAATACAAATTCCTTCAATATTAGATTAATATATTTCCAAACACTAATCTTGGCATTCCAAAAAAAAAAAAAAGAAAAAAGAAAAAGGAAAAAGAATGAGCTTAATATTTCTTCTCAAATTCATGCACTTTTGTTTTTCTTGCCTAGAACTAATATTAAAGCTCATGCTTTCAATCCATATATACAAAATGCATTTAGACTGACATTAACTTTAACATACAAAAAACAGCACTCATTTACCCAACATGATACCACGACTCAAATTCATTCCCACAAAATTCACAAGAAAGCAAAACAGAAAAACAGATTGGAGCCAAAATTCTTTTAAATTAAGCAAAATAAAAATGAGGCTAATTATAGTCGCCGGTGGACAGGAATTCGCTGTGGAAGTGGGTGACCGGGAACCTGTCCTGGAAATCAAGAAGAGGATAGAGCAGTTCCTGGGATGCCCAGTTTCCGGACAAACTCTGTCTATCTGCGGTTGGGAGCTAGTTGATGGACTGGACCTGGAAGACTATCCAATTGTTACAGCCGGTACAAAAATCGATCTCACGGTAAAGCCTCCCCCGGTTGCATTTAACCATCGCGGTAAAATCCAAATCACGGTAAAATTCTCATGCAGACATCTCAACATTGAGGTAGACAAAACGGAAACTGTCCGCAGTCTTAAGGAGAAAATTCACATAATGGACGGAACTCCAATCAAGAGACTGTCACTTTTCCATTCCGGAGTTGAGCTGGAGGACGATTTCCGGAACCTGAGTGAGTACGGTATATCTGAATTTTCAGAAGTTGTGGTTTTTCTCAAGACAATGAACCGTCTGAGGGATGAGCCACCGGCGAGGAAGCTGAGCATAGTGGTGCAGACGTCGTCAAGCCTGCTGAATGCGGCTAGCATTCCTGTGGAGATAAAGGATTGTGGCACGGTAAATGATCTGAGGCAGATGCTGCTGGATGGGAAAATTCTACCCCAAGATGACTACTTGTTCATACACAAGCAGAGGATCATGAGGGACAATTGTAGCCTTAGATGGCATGGTGTTGAAAATGGGGATTCGCTCTATGTTTTTAAAGGGACTGTGAGTAGCAGTGAATATTAAAGGTACAGTATAAATTTGAGTTCATTTTGGCCATAAAAAGGAAGGATAGAATATATAATAAGTTGAAGATTATTAAGTCTAGGAATGGGAGTATTAATCTAAAAATAAATTAAATTCAAGCTAAGTGGTCAAGTGGTTAAGGTTGAATCCTTAATTAGGATATCTTATGTTCGAGTTTGTCCGTGTAAATTCGATCTAATAAATTAGAGATAATTTTAATGTAATTTGTTTTGATTTGTTAGTTGATTAATAGACACTTAAACTATACTAATAAGTACCTGACAATAACATTAAGCTTTACATATGATTCAATTATATATATAAACAGAGCAATGAGGGATGAGATTATTATCATGCTATAAGTTTTCAACTAAGATTGGAGATGTAACAAATAATCAAATATGTTGAATGAATCTAAATCCAAACCTATTTTTGTAGCAAAGACGTCTACCCGATGAACTTCTGAAGCTATAAAGAAAATGTGAAACGTTTGGTATACTTTCTGGTTCAACACCCGATTCAACATTTTTTGATTTAATTATTAAAAATATAATATAAATGCAATCAATTTAGTTGGTTCATGTATCCTGTGTGCATGATTGTATCATTATATTTGTCTGTTTTTAATTTTAAATTAAAAAATAATGATTTTTTAATAATTAAACTGGAAGATGTTGAACCAAATATTGAAATATAGAGTGTACACAATCACTGTCCAAAGAAAATACATCCTTTCGATAAAATCAATTCGATATATATAATGATGGAGGGAACTAAACTGGGAAAACATAATTGTCTAACCAAGCCGGAAGGAAAATTAGAC